GCTGCACTTATCCGATCACAAAGCACTTTTATCGCCAAGAATTTTCCCATCAGAATGCTAACATTGGTTACTCCTCCACTGACAACAACTGTGAGCTCGGTTGTACCACACACTGGTAAGGGCGGCTTGTAGAACACCAAACTTACCAATTTTTCTGACTGACATTTGAACAGCTATCACAAAGTTTTACGATCGTTCAAGTTTCCTAACTTCTAAATGCCTCTTCATCGCCAAGAGTGCCCTCTTTTGCCTATATGATGCCGATGGTCAGTCGGGTTACTCTCAGGGCTGTGGCAGAATGAATTGTAGCAAACTATGTTGTCACCGCTTTTAGGTTCTGATTAAAAATTGCAAACGATGGCATTCAAGTAGTATTAAAAAAAATAATTTAAGCATTTTTTATTTTGTTTAAAGCCGGTGTGTGCTACTTTTACGTTATAAGTAACATCGATCCATTTATTTCTGTTTGGATGTCATTGTCCGTATTTCGGGATATGGACGACTCTGATCACATCTTGTATCTGGCATTCAGAATTATTCGACCTAAAATTCAACCGCCACAAATAAATAGCAACTCCATTTTCTGATCTCTCTGCAAGTTCTAATACTGAAAAAATCACTTTGCGTGAAGATATCGCATAGTTATAAGGAAACCGTTCAACAATACCAATTGCATGTCAAATATCAATGCACTCACAAGCATTTGTCGTTTACGTTATTTTAGTACCTTTTCGCACGTAAAGAGCTGCATACAAACAGCCTTCGCTCACTCTTGTCGCCGCCATCATCATCGTCATCGTAACGTCTTCACATCGGTGTCACACCGCCAACTTCACACCTCCACTGAAAACCACGTGCAAGGGTTACGTAGTGTTTATTGAATCCGCTTGGCGCCCCGAGGTTTTACGGCATCTGAACAATTGACAGAAGGCAAAAACTCTGCTGAGTGCATTTAGTCATTCAATACCCCTCATTTGCTTTGGATGGGCCTCTTTAGCATAACTTCAAAGAGAATATCACTTCGAATGAGCTGCTTTCGCATAAAGTATAAATTAATTACACAAATTGCTGTGTGCTGGCGTGCAATGTCATACCGTTCCATCCCCACACACGGGGAACGAGACTTTCGCAGCATTTGCTGCGTTGCTATCAAGCAGTCACGACGATACGACGAGTTAGTGGTTCCTTTGCTCCGGAATTTTTCCCACGAAACTGCAATTCGTTGCCATAGGGGCAATAAACCGTTCACTAGTGCCTTCTCATTACTAAAAACCAACGTCGCAGGGAAACACAAAACATCCGCAATATTGCACTTGAAAAGTGAAACTGCGAAGACATACACAAGGATTTTGTGCTATTGAATACATCCATTCAAGAACAGAGTTCCATCAAGTCCTTGTTTTTGTTACATAAATCAGTCCACCTTTGAATAACCTGAATTCATTGAGGAGTAACATCACGGCAGGTGAGCAATGGCTTTAACACTTCCCTACCCACGTGCACCTCCATGAACACAGACAAAGGCACGTATTTCTTGACACCACTTGACAATAAACCTGAAGGTGGGTGCAAAGTGGTGAGATGGTCATTTAGTCATAAAGCATAAGCAAAATCAAAGCTTGTACTGCTGCCTTGGATTCTCATTTTGCTGGATAACTTTTGGTTTGATGAAATGAAGTCGTTAATGTTCCCCTTTTGGCATGATGGGTACGCCTTAGAGGGGTTCACCAACACGACTAGGGTGTCAAGCGGACTTCTGCCACTGCACAATCCAATTTCGTCTTGTCCTTTAATACGGTTTCCGGCACAGAAGGCCGCCTTGCTCACCACTTCAGACGGCTTTTGAAGGCGTAAAAAGTGAACGCCAAAGGTGTTGAATAAACCAACTGCTACAAAGACTCTTTAGCGTGTTATTAGAATACGTCAACAGGGGTTAAGCATGGTCTTAGCAAAGTTTTGGCTACTGGTTTATACACCTCTGACCGCATCACTCAGTGCACAAGGCTGCTGTGAGGCCATTTTCTGCATCCACAACCGCATTCCCTTAGTAATCATTAGCCTGTGATTGATCACGTGAGAAATTTGACCTGCATTGGTGGTGGCGCCTTGGCGTAGGTTGCAATGCCGTGAATGCAAACGCAAATATCGCATGACTTGTTTGTTTTTTCCCCACAGCACTGGTTAGTGTGTTGAAATAGGCCACGCAGAGAATTCCTTGAGGGATATGATACGGGAGACTTTTTCTTTTGCCTCCACCTGCCCCCCCTCCCCCACATTCCGTCTCTCACAGCAAACAAGCTTTTCAGATGGACACAGGAGGAGGTTAGTAGGCCAATCAGTTTGTAATTTCCTTCAGAGCGACTCGGTTTAACTACATGCCGTCCGCCTCCGTTAGTGGCAATGCAAGTGGGAATAAGTTATGGCCACAGACAGCGGGTTATAATAGCGAATAGTGGGAGACAATAAAACTTTCCTGTTCCTCCCATCCCATATTCCGAGTAGGCATGTCGAATTGCGCAAAAAAGTTTCCGACAAAATATGGGAAAAAAAACAAGAACTTTTTTGCACAAAAGAAAGTATGCATGATCCAATTGTGAAGGTTTGAAAAGTACAAACCACTGAACAAATAATTTAGGCAAGCGGCTCCATAAAAGGGGCTTTTGTGGGGCTGAAAGGGAAAGTACAATTGGACGCTACCAAACAAGGCAAGTTAAACATAAATTATGTGCCCAGATGCCCATCATTTTCCATAGCTGATTTAAAAGCGGGAATAGTAAGACGAGAGTGGCTTTAGAAGGAAGGAGAGAGTGGCGCAAACCTGTGCAATAGAGTTAAGCATAGCGTAGTGGTGTGCTTAGACGTCGAAGATGGCATCCCTATCCATCCACAATTCCCACTAGGGCGTCAAATATTTAACAGCCATGACTGCCCCTTAAGCTTAAAATCCATGAGACGTGTCTGAAGTGTGGCTCTAAACACTCAAGGTGTCTGAGACGGTGGAATGATCCAACTGCCGAGTAATGTGACCTTTACTGTAACTTAGCCATCAGTACGGTAAATAAATTCACAAGTTCACGGTGCTGTATTTCCCATGGCATTAGCCGTACAGAGAAGGCTTAAAACATTCAAGACAAGCAAAAGTGTGCTGCTATAAAAGGATCGGTTCACTGTACGGCATCAGGTAGAGCGTCAGATGAGTTGATTGCATTACAGTCCAAAACTCCTGCCCCCAAAACCCCCACCTCCCCTTAAAATATTTTCCAACTCCACACGACTCGGTGAGTAGAAGTAGGCTCCAGTGAGTGGACGAGTGAATCGGAACAGTCCGTCCTCGATATGGTCGTGCGACAGTCCTGTCATGCGATCCAACGCCCATTCAAAGATGTGCGGTGACCTCGCGTAGGCGATGAAAAAGAGGCCACATTCACCGGAGGCAGTGCCGTATGGCAGTGAGTGGCGCACCATCCGACCCCCTGTGCCACTTGTGTCCTCCGCGCCTAAAAAAAGTGGCAATCTCTTTGCTCAGTTCAACTTTACTGCATTAGCATAATGTTCTAATGTGAGATGTGCCTCCATTAAATGAAAGGTAGGGTCAAGGTGCCATTTTGCGAATTCTCTAAGCCTAGTGTGGTATGCCAAATCACCTCTTGCTAAAACTACTACTGCAACCCTAAGCTTGAAGCTCCTCGACGGTAACAGTGCATGCCTTTCCTCAACACTGCGTACTGAAGAAGAGGACTTCTGTCGACCTGGGTGACAGCATCAACCTCACACCTATCATGCATCAGATGGAAAAATTACCTACATGCACGCTCAATCCGGAGTTGCTACAATTTCCACAACTATCTCACCAAATCTTCTGCCAATGTCTACGAAAAACCAAACATGCACTCCTACAAGGCATCAAACGTTCCGAGCCAAAAATGCCACTACAGACGGATTATTTCCTGATGATTCATCCGAAACCAAGTGTCAGCTATCACGTGTTGTCAGAATGCCCCTACTGGCAGGAATGCGATAGCAGGGTAGACATGCGCCAACACCTCGCAAATGCCTTTATGTACAAGTGCCACAACAACAACAAGAACAACAACAACACCGGCAACAGCAACACAGGTCACCTTATTTCACAGTGATCCACAACCGCGCCTGGTTTTAATTCGATATCACAACACCAGTTCATCACCAACCTCACTTCCACATCACTTCACAGGAGGGTAGAACTTACTGCGTTTTACCCGTCCAATGTGTGAGGTGGGAGCAATAGGCTCAATCCGAACGTTGGTATCTCTTGTCCGGCCCACATTGGCTTCCATTGTTTTCACTACAAAAATGAGCAAAAAAAAGTAGGATGAAAAGGGAGGGTTTCGTGTTGCGATAGCTGACCTGTTTGAACACTTCAAAACGAATTGTTTGGCTGGAACACAGGATTAGGAAGAACAACGCCATCATGTTAATGGGAAACGCAGCCAGCATCAGATACGAATAGAGCTTTGCCAATGCCATCACTAATGCAACCTCTCCCGAGTTAGCCCACAGATCGTCGCCTATTTCATTCGGTGTTCTTCAGTACAATTAGTTCATAAGGAAGGAAAAGGAATGATGCGCTCCTCTCGTTCAACCTCATCCGTTGCCTCAGATTTCCTTCCTGCTAATTTTAGCTTTTATATTAGAAATGAAGTCGCATTCGGGCTTTTAAACGTTTGTCCGACCACTACTGTTACCACCTTCAACACAAATTTCGTATCGCAATGACGGAAACTGGCACCACAACTTGTACAATGCCTTAGTGATTAAAAGAATGGCACAGAAGATTGTAAATTTATGATTGCAAAAAAATTTGTGAGAAAGCCATGATGGATTGCAAGCAACACACAAAACTGCCTCCTTCAAAGCCCTTGGCAATTACATCTACCTCTACAGCGCAAACCAACTTTTTTGTGCTGTTGTCGAAATGGTAACCACAAAGTAAGGCGAAAATGCGCGTGACGTACAGTTCTCGGTGGCAATCTTCTTCATGTCATGCAACCATCGTTGGGTGAGGACGTAGCTTCCACCCGTCGTCTCGCTGACTGCAGCCACAATGCGGTCAGTCGTGTCGGCAGGATTCGCTGTACCTTTGGGAGATGGGAATGGAAAACCGAGATAACTCTTTGTGCGGCCTAAGTGACAGCCAGATGTGAGGCATATTCTCAAAAGGAAACCAAGAATTAGCCATACTTTTTGAGGCCAAAGGATGTCGAAAGCTGTTTAGCATGAAAATTAAGCAATCGGGTAGAGGGTGCATGGATGGACGAACCTACCATCAACAAATCCGCTCAAGTCACGACCATCGCGATAGGTAAAGCCGTACGTCTCTTCCACACGCTGCACCGCGCCTTTCGGCATATCGTTCAACACCGTCTGGGCCAATTCGAAGAGTTTTCCTCTCTCATCACATACTGCGTGCACCAAAATATCACCGCCTTTTTATGAAGGGAGCAAAGTCTGTGAGAACAATAAATCCACCAGGAAAGAGAACTTTTCAAACGCTCCCATCCCATTCGACGCCTATCTTAATGTCAAGCACCATCCATTTGCCCTCATTTAGCCTATGGATACTCATTTTCTCAGTATACACATTTCTTTATGCCCTCAAATGTACCAAAGTTGATGCTTTAGCGAAGGTGACACATCTAAACAACAGGCGCCTAATAATGACATCATTAGCAGCTTCCGTTTCGTGCTTACAAAACATCAAACGTGAGGTCAAAATCTACTGTAATAACTACCGTAAACAAGCATTTGTATCCATGCAAAAATGGGCGTTAACTAAGGCTCCAACTGGAGAGGACAGAGGAGGAAGCCTTTATGCGAATGCTCTGTGAAGAGCACACTACCATCCGGATGTCCAAAGGCTTGGGTGAGTACTTGAATGAGGCCCTGATTCACCAAGGGAGACACAATCTGCTGTTATTGCAGTAGAGATTCCTATTAGTCAGCCAAGTAGCCAACCACTCGAGCGTCATTTCTACCTCCACTGCAATTTAGTAAAAAAAGTACCCCTCTTTCGTAAGCATTCTTCTACAAAACAAGCTCGACTGCGCTTGCTTTTGTTACCAAGGGATCGTTGCTAAACATGAACACCGAGATTCCTCGGCCTGATTGGGTACGAGAGAGGAGGCCAAAGTGAACATGAAGGATTACTTATCGTTTATAAAAGACTCTAAGAGTATAGATGTATAGAAACTGGAAAAAAAATTCACTTTCACATTTTGAAAATTTCAGAAGTTCTATTGACAATTACCAG